TACCAAAATTGACGGGTAACCTGTGTCTCTTGTACTAAAATGCACCCTTACTGATATATGCACAAATCTTTAACTGTTATTTGCAATTAGGAATTTAAATAGACAAAAAAAAAAAAGCATTTAATATTTTGTATTTTGATAAGCACCACCCATGACAATAGAACATTCTGACAAATTTATGCACGCGGTGATTGCAAAAACCGGCCCGAAAATGACAAGTTTCTCGCTACAATATGCGTTTATAAACGTCTTCACGTCGATGATTTGTCAATTTTTTTCACACGAAGTTGAAAAAATTACTGGTTTTCAAAAAATTAATAAACGTACTGTGCAAAATAAGAACGTACTGGGTGGATGTTTGGGCCCAAAAAAATAAACGTACCCGTATGTTTATTTGGCAGATGAGAGTAAATGTATTAGCAATTTTTTCATACATGAAACTGCAACATCTTACTGTACCTTTAATTCTTTCTATCCTGATATATGATCCATCTGTGCCTTTGTGATAAGTCCTCCATCCCCTATCACACTAATTCAATCATTTGATCAGATGGAGCTCGTCCAATCAGATTCCAGCATTGGCAAGACTCTGGCTGACAACTCCCAGCTATTTCCCACCCTATTGTGTGCATGCCAGCACGTCGGTTCCACTGTTTGTTTAAAAGGAAGATCCTCTTATTCAAATAGGCACAGAGATACCGAGGGCGGGCATTTGTTTTGAATGGCAATGGGATGGAGAGGGGTTTAGGCCACAGCAAGTAATTTTTATGGATGACATCAGCGTGTGCATTAATTTTCGCCTGATTTTTGGGAAAAAAAAACAAGAAATTTTGTTGCCCTCTGACAGTGGTCAACATGCTGAAAATGGGATGTCTGTCGCTATGCCAGAAGGTGGATGGCAGGCTCTGATTTAATGTTTTGTTTCTTACTTTGATGCAGTGATATGTGATGCTGGCTGTGTATATGTGATGTTCCCACTGAATCAAAACCATTTGTACAATAATGATTGAGTTAAAATTTCAAATTGTAGGAACCTTGTTTTTTTCGGCCTGCCTTGTTTTTCTTCCCCTGCTCGCATTAGATTTGTAGTCTGCGGAGGATGTCATCCATAAAATTTACTTGTTGTGGCTTTACATTCAAATAGGCACAGAGATACCGACAGGGCGGGCGTTTGTTTTGAATGGCAATGGGATCGAAAGGGGTTTAGCTTTAGATTCTGCTGCAGACTATACAATCACAGAATGTCAGATTTGGTGTGGTCTTCATAAATACTGGCTGGAATTTGTGACAGGGTAAGGTATAGAGTAGTGTCTACTGTGATTTTTTCGTTCAAGTTTTGGAAAGGGGAACCTACTCTTACCTCTCGAATAAAAGTACCCCCTGGAATAAAAGTACCCCCCGGACAAATCTTCAAAATGTAATAAAAGTACCCCCTGGAATAAAAGTACCCCCCGGAAAATTTTAAAATTGACATGTAATTAAGCCAAATTGTTTATGCTACTAAAATGTGTTCTCATGGTGTATGTATCCCAAATAAACATGACTCTGGAATAAAAGTACCCCCGACAAATCTTCAAAACCTAAAAAATATACCCGCCCAGAATAAACATACCCTCAGCTGGAAAAGTACCAAATTATCAGCCTGCATTCTTACAAGTTATTGAAAAGTGCATGTACATGGGGTATATGTCACGTACAGTCTATATCTTAGTACATTAGCCATCTATATTCTAACTCGAGATCTGACTCTGAGTTCACACAATTTGTTATCATTGCATTGCATGCATACATTGAGCAGGAACAATGCTATCAAGTTTTTGAAATAAGAGTCCTTGATCTTTTTAGCTTAATAATTATCAGAAAGATTACATTAATAGAGTTTGAAGTTGAACAGAAATTTACAATATGCTGAATAAATGCTCTATACAAATTTGCAGTAATGTGTAAAACCCATAGGCCATATAGATATATATATATATATACAGGGATCTCCCCAGAAATTCATAGCAGGGTGGAGGAGGGTGCGAAGCTATTGCATTTTGTCGTTTCCAAACACAAATGGAGGTCATTTCCTGCAACTTCAGTTCTACATTTTCTGTACAACTGCAGATGTATAAGGCAGGAGAAAGGTCCAAGATCTGTACTTAATTACCCTCTTTATGTTTAAAAAAATTCTATTAGCATCCTTAATTTTGCAAAAATTGGGCATAGGTTACCCGGATGACCCCTAACCGGGGGCCAACGGTGCTTCCACAAGTTCAACAAGTGAAAAATACATGATACAAAATGTACATGTATTTACTACCTGGAACTTGGAGCAAGTTTTCCAAAGTGTTACTGACATTGATATATTAAAAACTAAACCAAATCCTATTTCGGTTTAGTTTTTAATATATTAACATTAACATATTACTGACATTGATATATTAAAAACTAAACCAAATCCTATTTCCCAAACAAATCACATATTGACAAAGCTAAACAAATAAATCATGTCTATAAACTCCACTCAAAAACAATTTTTGAGAGACACTCGGGTCGCGGTACTAAGCGTGATAATCTCTAATATCTCATCTGATTCTCCCAATGTAAGGGACTTCACAATCACAGCATCCAACCGCACATTCATAGAAACAACATTACATTTTAACACAAAAAAAACAATAAATTCGGAAAATTTTTCAGTAATGTTTGAAAATTAACCTTATAAAATATTAGTGAATTTTTATTTCAGTTGTAGCCGAAAAAATTTTTTTCATGCGTTTAAAGTTTCGTTTTAGCACATTGTAATATGTACTTTGTACATGTATCTTGTACATTTGGATGCAGTCTTGACCTTTGACCACTGTTATTGTGAAACACTGTCGGCCATTTTGGCAGTCTCGCCGTGGATTTTCGAGCCGTTTTTCGAGCAAATTTCAACCGTTTTTAAACATTTTACGGCCTCAAAAACTCATATAACGAGGAAAGCAAGTTGTAGTTGTTATTTTCATGCGTAACATTTCTTCTGGGGATGGATATTTTTTCCGCCGAGCTGCCGAAAACTAGTGTCATGCCTCAACCATGTGGTCGGGCGCGGCCGGCCGGCGGGAGGTATCGGTGAGAATTCACGATGTAAACAAAGACATTCGGAGTTGTTTACATTAAAATTTTGTTGTGAAACGCCAGCGGGGTGTCAGATTTTCTACCAATAACAAAGTTTTCTCTGCGGCGTCATGGCGAGATCGACAATTCATCGTCAATTCACAAGATTGTGCCGGCAATGGAATGAATAGTGGCCCGATTAGCGCTCGATCCACGCCGCCTGGCCGAAGAAAATTGGAATGACGAGCACATTTATCGGGGATAAAATCCCCAATTTTGAAAATTATCGGGGAAATGTTGGAATAAAATCCCTAATTTTGAAAATCTATGTTCAAACTTTTATGTTCAGGACCGAAAATTTGTCCTGAACTTGGTTTGATTCTGAAAAAATAATAAACGTACCGTCTAAAATAAGAACGTACCGGGCGGATTTCGAAGCGAAAAAAAATAAACGTACCGGTACGTTTAATAGAGAGCTGAGAGTAGGTTAGGTGTACATGTAATAACCAATAATTTATAGGAGGGTCTGCATGCCCTTTTTCGTTAACCGTTATGGGCTATTTTAATTCACCGTTAATCGTTGCCGGCCCGCTCTAATTCAACGTTAAGCGTTATCGGTATATTCCTCGTGAAGCGTTATTGGCCGTTTTAATTCAACGTAAAACGTTATTTGTCATCCTAAATTCAGCGTTAAGCGTTAATGAATAATTCTTCGTTACGCCTAATTTTGCCTTTCAAAGTGCAGGAAAATGTGTCATTGAAGGTTTAAAAATACAAAATTTCCCGGGGGAGAATGCCCCCGGACCCCCCTACATTGCTCGCGCCTTTGGCGCTCGACTCGCGCTTCTGCGCTCGGTCCCTTCGGCTCTAGCCAGAACCAGTTTTCCCTTCAATTTCCGGAAGTTTGCGGAGAGTTACAGAATTTTAATAACGAATCCGTCAACCTTGACAGGCAAATTAACAAAAATCATGAGTAAAATATGAAAACATCAGAAGGACCGACAAACACTCTCAACACCATGATTTGCCTCTCAAAATGCGGGAAATTGCGTTTTTGAAGGCTTAAAAATCCTAATTTTCCCGGACCCCCCAGATTACGAGCGCCTTCGGCGCTCCCCTCTCAAAATCCATCGGTAAAACTGGGCAGACTGAAAAACTTGCAAGCTGGCCAATGTTGACTCGGACTCCCCTTTATTTGTGGAAGCATTAGGGGACCAGGGCATGTGGGGAACACAGGGAACACATACCTTTAATGCGTGCTTCATTACATGTAAGGTATACGTAATTTTGTTAGTGATCACCTTTTCTCACAAAGCAAGATATTAAATCCAGTGCAGCTCGAAAAAAAGCCTGTCAATTTACCGTTAAGCGTTGCCGACCGTCCTGAATTTACCGTTAAGCGTTATCGGCCCTGCTGAATGTACCGTTAACCGTTGCCAGGACCCCCCCATGCAGACCCTCTTATAGGTCTTCCAGTGTGTGAAATACAATTTGTTATATGGACCTACATTGTCCTACAATGTATGTACATTTATACTAATTTTAGACAGAATTCTGCCAATTTGGCCAGGACTGGTGGTCCTTATGCATAGAGGTGGTCACTTGTACAGGTTTGACTGTACATGTGTATCAATGGCCAGGTGGTCCTTATGTAGAGGTGGTAACTTGTATAATTGTACAGGTCTGACTGAATATCAATGGCCAGGTGGTCCTAATGTAGAGGTGGTCTCTTATAGTTATACAGGTTTAACTTCTTGAAGTAAATATTATATTATCTGCTTATAGTAAACCTCAATAATGAGAGTAACATGAAACTGCATTATATATATATATATATGATTTGGGTCAAGTTTCTTATGATAATAGATCCACTTCTACAATGATCGTAAATAATATTTTGTTTATTGTTTATGTAGAATCTCTAGACCAGAGCTACACAAACAAGCACCCAACTTCCAGTACTGTATACTCAACAACAGGACCGAACCATCTGCCGCCATGACGGGGTCCGAAGCCTCCATCAACATCAAAGAGTCGGAGGTGATCAAACTGATCCTGGACTTCCTGCACAACCGCGAGCTGCACGTGTCCATGCTGTCACTGGAGAAGGAGAGCGGGGTCATCAACGGGATGTACTCAGACGACCTGCTGTTCCTACGGTAAGGCGGGGTACTGTAAATGCATTTATGTTCGCGAGGACTAACTTTCGCGCAGCGGAGCAAATAGAGAGTTCGCGAGGGATTTTAGTTCGCTATACAGCAGAACCAAATACAAAAGGGAATGCCGACTTCCGCCCCCCCCCCTTTCATGGGTTTACTCGGCCCCGGAAATCCCCCATATTTGATAATAATAAAGTCCCAATATTTTTCTTTTGTCACACAAAATCGCCGGCTATGGAATCTTTTAACAAAACGCTACTTAGTGCAGAGTAACAGTGATTTGGTTGCAGTTAAAAATTCATACTGAACTGATGGCTCGTGCTGAGAATCATACGGGATCTGTATCGTACCGAAGGACCAGGCATCGAACGGTTAGATTTTTACTCGGATATTCAAAGATGAACTCGTAAAATACATTTTCAAAAGCATAAAAAATCTTGTTTCCCGGCATTTATCTCTTGAAATACGGCGCTGATTTAACACAAAAATTAGTTTCATGCCCCGCTCCTGGCTTTCTCAGCTAGCTGCATAAATTTTGACGGTATGCAAATCTCGCGTCACGTGTCCGCATTTCGCGTCTCTGATTGGTTGTGCGTCAGTCGGAGCAGCTCGCCGCGGTAACATACTAGCGGGCCGACGCGATGTAAACAAATTTTCTTTGTTTTAATATAAGCGCTAAATCGCTTTTTCCACAACTACACATATCTAGTGAAGGAATGCATAGTTCCAAGAATCTTTCGGGAAAATGTATATTTCTATAGGGATTTTTGGTGTTTTCGGCGTGATTTTGCAAACCGGAAGTATACGGACCTCGGCGTGCCTCGGCGTGGGTTCATCGTACCCACGCTAAATTTTTAGCATTTTTACCCTCCGTTTTACCAACCAAAACAAAATACAACTCCCGCTAAGGAGAACCCAGTAACATTTCAGATCCCAGCAATTATGTTTTTGATCAAAATATTTGTGGATGTGCCTGCATTTTAGCCGTATTCCTGTCGCAAGCGGCCCCGCGACGTGCACGCTAAGATTTCTTGTACGCAGTTGACATGGCCTGACACTGGATTCGGTGTCTCATAAAATGATTCTTATCAGTATAAATAATTCTGATACTCAACAATAGCGCAGAAATATTCTATTTCTTGAAGAACTGGACAGGTCTACTTTTATTTGTGTCTATTTCTGCTGAGACAATACGGATAGTTATACTTGGCTCTATGGGTAGTTACTAACGTAACGTTACATGGAAACCTGGAAGACGGGAGTGTAGCGATACCGGATACGGTAAACAGTTCGCGAGGGACATGACTTCACGAAGCAAGGCTCTTCGCGAAAACCGCGAAGTTAAATCCCTGACGAACAAAAATACATTTACAGTATTAAAAGGGCGGTAATGTCACGAAAATTAAAAGAAACCTAAATGGCTATCACTGGAACAGTGTAAGGCAGGAAGAAAAATGTCCAGACTGTGCATGATGTACAAAATACTAAATAACAGGTGGACACACCTGACTACTAAGTATCTTATACAATGTACTAGCTCAGAAAAGAACAAGAAATACTGATACATTCAAGGACCAGAGCTACATGTATCACTATCAGCCAAGGATTGAGGACCTGGTGTTGAATGAAAAACTGTTTTTTTTTTTCCATAAAACTATGGCCTCCATGTGCAGTTACAAGGGGCATCATCACTAGATAGCTTTAAACAATCATTCTTAAAGTTAAACTTTTAAATGTAGAATATGATGTTAGATGTACAAAGGCTAGGTGTAACAGGACATTTGGTGTAATATAGCCAGCTACATGTACTGTTTGCCTGTAAAGCTGGAGTGTTATGCCGATATACAGATACAGAAGCACTGTGTGTTATGCCAAAGAGTGGTTATACCGGCCATACAGAATACGATACAGATACAGAAGCTGGTGTGTTATATAATTACGCTGAGGGGTCACAGGTTAAATTGGCTATACATGTACAGATACAGAATGATACAGAAGCTGGTGTGTTACTGTTACACCAAGGGGACCGGCTATACGGATACAGATACAGACGCTGGCGTGTTACGCCGGAGGGCGGTTATACCAGCTATACAGATACAGGACAAAACCTTGTCTGCCAAGTTGTAAAATAGAATAGGTAGATGGGAATGTAGTTATTCAAGATTCCTGCTGTCATTTCTCCCACAGTCAGCTGATCCTGGATGGCCAATGGGACGATGTTCTGGAGTTCATGCAGCCGTTGGAGAGTATTGACGGGTTCCAGAGTGACCACTTCCGCTACCTGATCCTCAAACACAAGTTCCTGGAGATGCTCTGTATCACCAAGTCTGAACCCAACATGCAGTTCCCAGACATCTCGGTAGATGGCATTTTTTTAATTTAGGCCACACCAATTTAATTTCTTGGTCAATGGATTTTTCAAGGAAAACAATGGCGGGCTGCGGGCGGGTGAAAAAAATGAAAAATAAAAATAGGCCTAGACATCCTATTATGGCCCAAAATGGTACAGTACAATGTAGGAGCCAATTGTCAAGTCAACACACCAGGCTGGTTAAAATTTTAAACAATGAATTTTGAACTTTTGATGATACCACTGCATTGAAAGATGGAATAACTATAACAACTAGGAAGAGGAAGAAAAGGGCAAAATATAAGCATTTTGCAGTTGATTTTGATTTTTTTTTTTTTTGCAAATGAGAAAAAAATGAAGCGGGCAAATCCGTTAACTACTGTACAGTATGTTGGAGAGAGATGATAACAGAGTACTTCTTTGACTGGAATTAAGTTTACAATGTAGAAAGTAGTGTTCAGTTGTTTCACTATGATATACTTCTCCCACCTATAGAACAGAAAGAGATACATTGTTACAGACTATTTACTAAAGACAAAGTTCACCCAATCTGGTACACAGTACAATACAATCCATGAATTATTATCATGTCCAACTACCATATCTGCTTACGTAGGCCAATTTTTGTACACTTTATTCCGTAAGCGAGACCATATCATCAATACATGACCATATTGTAACTCATATACTGTATAGATAGTAGTTTGTAGTAAGAAATGTTATAAGATAGTTTAGTTTTGTAGTATTGTTGTATTACTGCCACACATTGTACCATGTACGATTGTCCAGCAATAAAGTCATATCCACATTTCCATGTAGGTAGATGACGTTGTAGAGTGTCTGAATGCGCTGGAGCCGTACTCTCCGACACGTGAGGAGTACAGCAGCCTGTGTCTGCTGCTGACCCTGCCACAGGTCACCGACCACGTGGAGTACAAGAACTGGAACCCCAGCACCGCACGCGTACACTGTTTCCAGGTGAGACTGCCTGTGAACTATCAACCTTTCTTTGTATTTGTGAACTACAAGTTAGTTTGACCACCTGTAAACTATGACCTATCTTTTTATTTGTGAACTACAAGTTGGGTAGACTTGTGTATATAGCACATTGGCAGAATATTAGGCCTGCATGAAACCTGTGATGTATTCAGCAGTCTCATTCAAGGTTGTATATACACATGGAAAATTAACCCTTTCTGAATTTCTGACCTTTGTGTTATCATCCATTGTTCTAGCCAGTCTGAATTTTTTTTCCATCCTTTGAATTTGTTTGATGTAATGCCATGTCGAATCCTTCCCATTAGAAAATTTTTAAAAAATTTTGACCTGTTGAAACACTAAGTCTTAGTCTAGTTTTCCTGTATTTTGTGGGGCAGTTTTTGCTGGTTGACTAAGATTAGTTAATTCGCATTTCTTTCAATATCTTTACACACTAATTTTTGTCAAAGATGACGGATTGTGGGCAAATATTTCTTTGTCATTTAAGACTCATAATCAGCAAAATGGCAGAAAGACAGATGCTGGCTAGAACACTGGTGTTATCCCTAGATTTTGCAACAAAAAAAGCTCTTTAATCCTTTAAATTTGCTTGAGCTGAGAGAGTGACTCCTTGTTCTACCTTTCTTTTTCCTCCAGGATGTTGCAAAGATGGTGGAAACGTTCTTGCCGGCCAACAAGAAACTGTCCGAGGCTGGTTTCACGGCATCTCAGGACAGACTGGTCAACCTGATGATCAAAGGACTCCTGTACGAATCCTGCGTGGAGTTCTGTCAGCAAAAAGCGACAACAGACAGCCCCAACACTCCGATCGAAGACATCATTATCTCCGATATTCTCCAGGGCAGCGCCAGCGACGAGGCGGACCTTAGTCTGTTGTCGTGGTTACAGAGCATCCCGCCGGCCACGTTCACGTGCGCGTTCGAACAGAAGAAACTGAAGCTCCAAGTGGACAAGATCGTGAAGCCGCCACCAGCGCCAATCAGTGAACTCCTTACGCCAGTCATGAACAGAGTCTCGCCGTACCCGACCACGCCCACGAAACGCCCGCGCTCGGCCGACACGTACTCGCACATGACGCAGTCGCTGAACCCGTCCCTCGACGGACTATCGTACGGACTGATGAACCAGACAAAAGAGAGGAAAGAAGCGAAAGCGGAGACGAAGGCGGCGAACATCATGTCACGGTCGTTTGCGGCGTTCCACAGTCCGAGCCGCGGCACGAACGCGGGCTTCATGTCCACCATGTTTGACAACTCTATCCAGGAGGAGGGCTCCAGCGAAACCACATCACCAGACACAAGCGTGTCAGATAAAGGGGAGGAAAAACCACAGGTAAGAAACATCCATGTAGGGATAATCCCTGTCCTTAGTGCTAGAAGGTCATCCATGCCAAGTGAAATGACCAAAATGAACAGACTAAGACCTGTGATATGTCATATCAATTGTTATATTTTGCTATACAATCAAACTTGCCCAAGCGACCATCTGGCCATGATGACTGCTTTCTCTGGTCCTGAAAGTTCTGCTGATACACGCAATCATTAAGTGACTAATACCAAAGCTGTCCACTTGTTTAATGCGACTGAAACAGGCAAAATCGGTGCCACTTACGGCCTAATTCCTGCCTAAAACTATGACCTATGCAAGCCAATTAGAGTGTTAAATTTCATGTATAAGCAAACAAGGTTCAAACACACAAACTGTACTTGTCCTTGGTGCTAGAAAGCTATCCATTGACTGGTAAACTTTTTCCATGCTGCTGAAGTAGAATTGCAGGTTATTAATAAGACACTCTTGTACTCTGCAGCTGTATTTATTTATACACTGTATGTTAAAAATAAGTACCTGATAATAATGGTAATGAAAGACATCCAGGTAATGAGATACACAGTTACTGAGAAGCAACTGGATATAGATTTTGATGATATCCAAGTGTGGTAGATTAGTTTTTGGATGAGAAGTAAAAGCTGTGTTGTATCTGCAGATGTTGATGAAGAGACTTCCCCAGGCCATGGAGTTCAGCCCCCCTCAGCCTCGCAGACAGCCCCACCCCCCCTCACACCCTCACAAACAGGTCAGGCAGACTTACAATATACATTTGTATGTACATTCTTGGGGCTAGTCATTACTCAGTGTGCAAAATACCTGGTTGCCCAGTTGCCCCAGGCAACCAAATTTTACTTGGGGCAACCTATTTTGAACCTAGGTAGCCCAGTGTGCTACCTGAATTTTAAGAATGGACCCCCCCCCAATCATGCCCACTTGGCTTGCACCACTGTATCCGGCAGATGCTTTTTAATTGTAGGTATTAATGGCTACTAGTATTACTAGTATCAGTTAACTAAAGGCTGTTAGAAATATTTTCTAAGGCTTATGTATGTAACATGTCTTAATTTGAGGAAAGTAGTAACTTGTAGGTGGGACAACCTAAAATTCTGATGGTCAACCTAATTTTGTACACTGCATTACTATACCAGGGCTCAAAATCCTTTTTTCTGCATTTCCTTCACTGGTGCAGGCAACATTCAAAATTACCTGCTTCAGACAATTTTATTAGCACTACAGTTTCATGGCTCGAAATACTGGGTGCATGTGCACCTTAGTGCACCCAATTTTTTTCTGTGGGTTCACCAATGCACCCAAAGATTTTCTTAGGTTTAACATAATATTGTAAAGATGTTAAATGTGTAGTAGTCACAGCATCTAAGTGTCAGAAAAAATAATACAATTATTGTTATAGTACTTTTCTTGAAATAAAAGATAATTATAGTTTTTGCTGACATTCTACTTATCTTACATGGTGCACCTAAAATATTTTTTGTGCACCTATTTTTTTAGCTTGGGTGCACCAGTGCTCCTATTCCCAAAAATGAATTTCAAGCCCTGAGTTTCTTTGCCTTTCAGTTCATAAAAAAATGGAATTATTTGAAGAAATTATGTTCTTATATAGTGGCACCACTTTTAAATACAATGTACTAAGTTCTTGTTTATTTCTATGGAAAAAAAATGAAAATGTTTTTAAGTCAGTTACTACACGTTTTAATTTGTGAATTTGATGTCCACAGCCAAACCACCAGGTTAAGAAGAGCCCCAGGGCCAAAGAGATCCCACCCCAACACCCCACCCCACAACAACAACAACAACAACAACAACAACAACAACAACAACCAGCACAACTGACGGGCAGTATGGTAGACTCTCAGCTGGCGTACGAGGAGTTCAGAAGACAGAGAGAGCAGTTCGAGGAGCAACTCAGACAACAGGTACTGGTTTATTCAGACTTTTGGTTTTTCTGCAACACGGTTTATTTATTCAGACACGTATATGTATTGATTATTAGGAAAAAAGAACAAACAAGAGTAAAACACATTGATAAAATATATAATTACAAGGTTGATAACAGAAAAATGAGTATAAACAAGACAAGTTGTTGATCTATCAATTAGGCCACACCAATTTAATTTGTTGGTTCTCGGAATCGCCGCTTCAAAAAATCGCAAAATGAAAAAAAAAAAAAAAATTAATTCTACCCCAAAGCCCCGGACGTGATGAAAGCTCCTTGGTATAGCGTGGCTGGCACCATTTTTCCTGGTAAAAATACAATATTGGTGCCAGTGAAAGGCGTGTCCATTTGTAAGAAAACCCATTAAAAGTCCCCAGATACCGTTATCTTGGCAAAGAAAGCGGTAAATAGCTTATTTTCTTGATGAAACATCGGGCCGCTGGCGTCTTTCTAATCCGAGCCGCCATGTTTCTTTGTTTACTTTAGACTCTCGGCCCAACTCTCGCGAGACTTGATATCCTTATATCATTACCGAGGTCAGGTGACGAGGTATCTTACGTACAAGTGAGCTGAGTGGGCGTTTCAAAATGTTTCCAGAATTGTTGGGGGATTCTGAACTGCAATCTGACTAATTTGGCTAATTTTTGAGGGGAAAATAGAGGAAACAATATTCTAAACAGCCTCAAAGGTGACATTGTTGGCAAAGCTGGTATTTGAAATGAGATTCTCCCTCGTGGCCGAGGCGCGCATTGGCCAAAGAGGTTTGACAATGTGTGACTAATTTTCTACCCTCAGGAAATCTGACTTTGACAAACTTGGCTCTAATTTTCTTCACGGGTCACATGATTAACACTGTGCTAGATTGTTTTGATATAGCTTAACTTTAAAATAGGATAGAAAAGTTTCTTTAAAGGTAAGACATTGTGTTGAAATTTGTCTTACCAAAATTATGAAGCCATTTTTTTGTCTTGATGATGGTCCCTTTCATGTTTTCTACTCTGTATAGTATAAAAGGAGGTGTTTAGTTGAATGAATCCTTTATTATGTACATGAACTTTAATCAATGTAACTACTTCTGACTTACACTTGTATAAGTTGAAAATTGTAAGAAATAGTTCAACATTGTCTTCAAGTTTCATTAGCAGTAACTGTCCAATATTGTCAAACATTATCACTTGACATAAAATTGCCTAATAACTTTATTTATTAGGAAATAAAAGATTTCCTTGCTGCAATTATGAATACCATAATACACATTGTGCCCGCGACGCGCCTGCCGTGTGGCCTCGCTGCACTAGGTCCCCTTATGCTGTGAAAAAATCCTGGTGAGAACCCTACATAGGCTATAAAACAGCAATGTTTTAGCATGTATAGTCATAGCTTTGTTCTCAATCCCTCTTTCCAGCCCTAGCTTTACCATTTGGGCATGTTTTTTTTTTTTTTTTCGCCCTGTCGCTTTACATTTTTCATGAAAAAATCCGAGAACCAACAAATTAAATTGGTGTGGCCTTACGAAAACATACATGTACGTTAATTTTTCTTTTACTTTGATGCAGCTATGTATTTCATTCCTTTTATATGTGAAGGTGGCTGTGTACATTTGTATATATGTGATGTTCCCACTGAATCAAAAGCATTAAATTAAAAAATACAAGGATTTAAAAGTTATTTTTCAAGGTTGTTTCAGTGAGAAATAAATGTTGTAAAAGTTTGCAGTAAATTTAGCATAATGTACTAAGTATCATTTCTTGTTTAGCAATGTTTATGATGTCAAAATTTGAAAATCTTGTTTTTTGCCTACCTTGTTTTATTACTGACTTCCCTGAAATCTCTGAATCTCTGATCTCTTGTTACAGGAGGAACAGCGAGCACAGTTTGCTAAGCAGTTAGAAGATGGTCTGTCCGGACAGAGACCAACAGGACCACACCCACAAACCAACGCTACGACAGCACCAATGGGAGAGTCTCCTCCCTTCACCACACCAAGCAAACAACAAGGTGCACCCTTACGTCATTGATTTTGGTAGAGTTGTTTTCTCACTACCTTCATTTGCTAGAGTTTTTAATTCAGGATTGATCATGAGGTGTTTAAAAACTTATTTTCCTAGAACTGTAAAATTAATACATTGCAATTTGTTACCACCAAGTACCATCCCACTAGAGAAAGCTTTAAACAACATTTACAGTTCACTCATGATCAGTTACTACTCACTGTCCAATTTATCGTTATCGGTCAGATGTACAATGGTTAGGGATACAATGATTGTTCAGAGTAATATAATCAGAAGAGCAATTATTCCAGCTATAAGTGAGTGATTTTACCAGCTGCATAACATATTAGCTTATAATACAGAGGCTGGTATGTTAAATTGTTAATATGCAGAAGGACAGTTATATCAGCTATACAGAAGATGCTGTGTTATTCAGGAAAAATATTTGGAGCCCTGCTATGTCATACTGACTTCTGTTTTGTGTACACTCAGGCTTGTGTACCAGTACCCCCAGACCAGGGGCTGCACCGTCTCAGACCATGCCTACACCCAGCACCATCGGCAAGGCTTCAAGTCCTCATGTAAGCCTCTTCTATGATCATACTATCTTGAAAGTTCATCTGTGTTGGTAGTGGTAGTTACATGTTTAAAGTTAAAACTTTTGATCCAACACAACAAAGTTCTTTGACCTAGAACTTTCGACCAGTCACTCTGGTCTTCATCAGTAGACTGACCCAGTGATCCTTGTCACGTGCAGGGCTTGAAATTCATTTTGGGAATAGGTGCACTGGTGCAGCCAACCTAAAAATTAAGGTGCATTTTTTTTGGTGCACCATTAGAGAACAAAACCTAATTACAGGTCTTACTGCTCCTCTTCTGAGCTTGAATCTGAAATCTGAATTGAATCTGAGCTGACTTCAAAATCTAAATTCACCTCAGGTTTTATCATTTTTCTGACACTTAGATGCCAAGAATATCCTGCATACTATCATACATTTGACATGTACAAAAATACCCACAGAAATATTTGGGTGCACCAGTGCACCTGCAGAAAAAAAAGGGTGCACAGCTTCAATTTTGGGTGCACTAAGGTGCTTAAGTATTTCGAGCCCTGCACATGGCTTCTTTGAAATGTGACATCAACACTGGGTCAAAGCAATGTACATGTATCTGACATGGAACCAGGGCTAGCCCTTTGCAATAGCCACAGGCTAGTTGGGCTGCCCTGGCTGTAAATGTTCAACAATACAATACATACATGTCCTGATAGATAAATAAATAAATAAACACCGTAAGGCCACACCAATTTAATTTCTTGGTACATGGTTAACGGATTCGCCTGCTTCATTTTTTTCTGATTTGGAAAAAAAATATTCAGAATCAAATGCTCATATTTTGCCCCGAACAGTTGAAAACAGTCCTTTTCTTCCTAGTTGTTACAGTTTTTCCATCTTTCAATGCAGTGGTATCATTAAAAGTTCAAAATTCATTGCTTAAATTTTGAACCAGCCTGGTGTGTTGACTTCATGGCTCCTATCGTACCATTTTGGGCCATAATAGGATGCCTAGGCCTTTTTTTATTTTTTTTTGCCCGCCCGCTCCATTATTTTTCTAGAAAAATCCATTAACCAAGAAATTAAATTGGTGTGGCCTAAAGATGAAAAAACATGTTTTTATGGTTCGATCTCCTTCATCGTCTTTTAAATTTTTCTCGTTTTCTGCCGTAGACCAGTCCGCGGCCCGTTGGCCCGGTTACGAGATCTCTGGAACAGACGTTCAACAAGATGTCTGTACAGGACGGCGCGCCTGTGGTGGACGGTCACACGCCCAGACTGTCCCACAGCTCGTCTAGTACGTCCAGCGGTGACACTCCCGCCAAGACAAGACAGAGTCACATCATGGTGAGTAGGTTTTATTGATCTCTCATTACCTACATGAACAATGGAGGTATTGTTTTTGGCGTGTCTGTCTGTGTGTCTGTGTGTCTGTCTGTGTGTGTTTCCGCAACTTTGTGGTCAGCATAACTTCAGAACGCCTTTATGGATTGTGATGATATTTGGTATGTTGGTAAGTCTTGGAAAGACAAAGGTCAAGGTCAAATATGGGCCTACTGGTGGATGACCTTGGTACTGCAGCAGAATTTCCGGTTTTTGTATCTTTTGTCCTGAACATGCTATGGTCTTGAATTTTTGGTGACAGATAGCTTTTCCTGTCAGGAATAAGTGGTTTGGGTTTGGTCCCCCTAGCAGCTTGTTCTGGAACTGCAGGGGACTTTCTGGCGAAACATTTAAAAGCCAATAAGTATGAAGTATGACAAAGCAAACCCATATTTTATGGAGGTATGAGATCTCGGAACTCTTGTTATCTCATCTATCCCTATAAGAATTGGTATACATGTCATGTAAATAAGTCAAACTCAGTGATGAACCAGGATGAGGGGGGATACAGACTTAGCCATGCTTGGGATTGTGGTTTTCTGGTTTTGAACTGCCAGTGGATGTCATTTTCAGCACCAAGGACAGGAATGCAGACAGCTGTAACAAGATCTTTTTTTCGCTTAAAGTATGCTACAAAGTACTGTCTCATGCAGATAATCATAGTCTTCACATCTTTTAGTATAGCTTTTGACTTACACTTTCTTGTCTATACTTATTTATTTATTTGCTTATTAGAATATAAATTTTTTGTTTCTTTCTGGTGCACTTGGTCCCTGATTTCCCCTCCCCCCCCCACAAACACATGCACAGTGTTCACATAACTGTTTATTCTTGTTACATTTTATACAACAGCTAAATTGATTATTTTGGATTGTTGCATATATACCTAATACTGTAGCTGTACTGACACCTGTGATGTTGCAGAGTGTCTCAATACATTTTTTAATCTCAGCCATTATGTCCTAATCAGCATGAAAGTTCATCTGAGTTGGTAAATTACATAATTTTTTTATGAAAAACTTAAAAGTTAAACTGTTCTCCAACTCAAAATTTGACTCACCGGAATTTTCGACTGAATCACTCAGTCTTCCTCAGCTATCTGAGCCAAATGCTGTGGACACGTGATCATCAGCAAAGGGTCAAAGGTTGTCTGAAGTCGATATCGCCCCCCGTCCCAGTTGAGCGATGGTTGAAGTGCCCTGATGTATATGGCCTCTTTTATGCCTCTCTTGAAGTAATCCTGTTCGGTATCCAAGATTCTGGCCCCCTCTAGATCCACTGTGTGTCCCGGTGATTCTATGTGGATGTGCTGTGACACCTCAGATGCAACAGAACTTGTTCGTCTATGTTCTAGAAACCTGGTTTTTAGTGAGCGCTCAGTTTCCCCGATATAAGTTTCCCGACAGGGGCCTCTGTTAGTGTTTCCCAGGCAACTTATGTGGTACATAACCCCACATTTGTCTTCCTTGGGAGTTTTGTCCTAAGGTGCCAACATTGTGTCCTAAGTTTGTACTCTGTGTAAATTCAAAGCCCGCTGTTGATGAAATGTTAGTGACTTTACAGTTGGCATTCTTCCTAGTACAGAAATGCTATTTTCATCCGTCATATTAAGCTTGATATTTAGCTCCAAAGGAAAGTCATCTCCTAAAATGTCTAGAACAGATCCCTTATCTATAATATGATAAGTGTTAATGTCATTTTACCTGTCTTGATATTTAGTTCCAAAAAGAAAGTCATTTCCTAAAATGTCTGGAACAAATCCCTGATGTGTAATATATGGAATGCTCTTTTCAATCATAGAACTGGCTATTTGCCAATCTTATATGTTAGGTGTTATATCAAGCCTTGAAATTAACTTTTCTTCCTATTGTCCCAGTACTACTGTCCCGAAAATAAATTTCAATTGTCCCGAAGTGAGGATGAACTGTCCCAACCTGTTTTTGAGAAGTATTATTGACTTCAACTTGAAATCAACTTTATTTTGCTTATGTTCACTCCCAGGCGCACTATACTTGCAGAGTAGACAGGAAATTTGGGGAGACTTTTCCAGATCCAAAAGCCGGGACGTGTGTCTGATAGACATAAGAAGGGCTGACATTCTGATGTTGATTATTTTTCTATTGTCCCAAAAATGTCTCAAAGTGTCTTTTTAGTTGTCCCAGCCTAAACTTTAGTGGTCGGTGGCCATTGGACCACCTTTAATTTTGAGCCCTGTGTTATACATGTAGCATAATATATCTGCTCATATGAGTATTATACTCTACATATTGGCTGTAATAATGATTTATTGAAAATGGTGAATACTGAAATGTATAGAACATTACATATTAATAACTGCAAAGAAGAGGTGAAATGATATGTTATGATTTTGATCACTGTAATTGAATACATATGATTACAATACACATTATACATTTTGGTTACACTGCTATTACCAGCCAGATTTTTTATGATCCTTATACCAAACGATTCCCGGGCCTACATCAGATGACTTATTATTATTTGTCAATATTTTTTTTTATTCTTTTGTATTAGGCCACACCAATTTAATTTCTTGGTTAACGGATTTTTCTAGAAAAATAATGGAGCGGGCGGGCGAAAAAAAATAAAAACAGGCCTAGGCATCCTATTATGGCCCAAAATGATACAATAGTAGCCATGAATTCAACACACCAGGCTGGTTCAAAATTTAAACAATGAATTTTGAACCTATAATGATGCCACTGCATTGAAATGTGGAATGAATGTAACAAGTAGTAAGGAAAAGTCTGTTTTCAACTGTTCAGGGCAAAATATGAGCATTTTGCAGTTGATTCTGAATTTTTATTTTTCTTTGCAAATCAGAAAAAAATGAAGCGGCGAATCCGTTAACCAAGAAATTAAATTGGTGTGGCCTTATTGTTTTATTAATATTATTTTCAGTCATCCATTTTGGCCAGATATTTGTTTATTTTCAATTGCCCCATTGATACTGGGCCGAACTCTGAGAGCAATAAATTAATTGTTATTTTGCATGTTTGTGCACGATATGTAAAGTACTGCTTATAAAAATAACATATGGCTAATTTTTGCTTCTTTGCCAGCAATGGCCCCCCTCCCCCTCCTGCTATAGGTGGTGAAAAAAAATTGCACATTCAATATATTTCTAAGTGCAAATCTTGAAAATCATGTGCATTTAGTACATTGCACGTAAGTATTTCGAGCCCTGGATTACTTGAACATAACTACGTATTCTACAAGATGTGTATTAATGATGGCTTGTCTCGGAATAGGAGAAAAGGCTAATTTGTCTCCTTAAAGATCAGACAAGTTGAAGACTCCAGAAAAGGGTTTGTTTGATTGGCTGAAATTGGACCTGCACAGTTTGGGCACAGAGAGGAGGTCACTTCTGACAGCTGGAGTTCCCTAGCCCAGCCGAAAATCTGCCAAACGATCAATCGTCATGTCCCTGCACGGATGGGTTTGGGGCCTTGACAAGGTTGTTGTAGCCCTGCACATAATATAGTGGTGAAGTTCAAAATGACTGCAGTTATAATAACAAATAGTGCTGTGTACCGGTTGGCTTGGACCGGTTTTGGACTTGTAAAAATGTTTAGGTTCAAGTCCAAAAAAAAACTTAAAGTCATTAACCAAGTCCGGACTTATTACAAAAAAATACATGTACATGTCATACACCCCTTTTCTTCCAAACCACCTAAAACCTTCCATAGATTGCAAAATCTGTGCTGCAAAATGAAGAAAACATTGCCATTGGGCATTGTCAAGTGTCAGCCTCCATGTTATGTGGCCACAGACAACATTGCAAGGCTGCCAACATGCAATTTTGTATATGCCATGGGTTAATGTCTTGACTTACGAGTCCGGAACTGAACCTAAACCTCTGGACTCGAATCCGGACCTGAACTTAAATGTGGGTTTAGGTACACTACACTAATGAAAAATACTAACTTCTTTATACATTTTGTAGTCGACTGTTTTTGTACAATGTCATGATTTTTTAAAAAATACAATGGCTCCTGTAGTTTACAATCTGCACATTCAGGTATATATAAAAATACAATCAAATTAACATTTTTATTTCCTTGATAAATGTGGTCAGTTAAAAATCACTTTACAGTGCTCAGGTTTTTATCTTGTTTTCAAGGCAGTATAATGGCCCCTGCTTTTTTTTCCAAGTTTTTTAAGTTGCCCACTCCAGTTTTTAAAATACTCTACGTTCTACATGTAGTTCAACTTTTTTATGTCATTGATATATACATGTAGAATACTGTATAATGTATTATATGCATATAGATGTAATTGTATGATACAGTGTCATACAGGACTAAAATTTTCAGCTCAAAATGTTGTGTGTCACACTGAAGTACAATGTACTTATCAAATTATGACAATTTGGGGTTGACACGGCTCTCTGTATCTAATTATCTTGAATAATTTATGACAAAACATAAGTGCTCCAAAATTTTAGAAGTGTAAATGCGCGCACTCACTGTCTCTTAGCTTAAAAACGCATCCAGTGCAGTTTTTAGGGCGTGGAAACACAATTTTTCAAAGCCCAATTATTCTAGCCATTTATCTACATACTGAGTTAAAACCACACTATCCCAATGTATATTTCATGGAGAAAAAATACCCAAAATTCTGGCGGAAAAATTGTTACTGGAAGGGCCCTTGGGTGATTTTTTGGGTACCACCCATAAAATAAAGGGACTCATATCTTGATGCTTGTTTCTGCAGTTTTAAATACCCAAAGGTTGAAATACTGATTGAAATGTGCTAAATAGATGTGAAGCAGTATGTGTCAATATCATACAGAGTGCCTTATTGAAGTTATTCAGAATATTTCCAGTTTTGCTGCTCTAAAATCACTCTGGATGCCTTTAAATAAAAACCTCAACGTCTTTTTGGTTGACTGAGGTAATGTAGCATGAGTGGGAATCCTTGTAGGAAACATGTCATGTTGA